CATCTGGTGAAAATTTCATGTCATTAGCACCTCTAGTAATATATTTACTGAGAAAAATGGTGACGTGTTCAATACTTATTTTACCCGCTGTACAGTCAATGTTTGGGATGGTTTTGAGCCATATTAAACTTAGCTGTTATTTGTTTTAGCCTTTTTCTTTTTACTGATATCAAACCAATCAATATTAAAATCACGCAACAAAAGAATTTCCTCATTATTACATTTTTGAAGTATCTCAGTGAGATGGGTAAAGAAAACGTCTTTAGCTGTAGGTGGTTTATACAATAATCTGAGTGTCTGATAGTTAATCCCATTCATCCCAAAGAGTCACAGAGATTCTCCATCAGTTTACTGTCAAACCTTTCCTTCACATAACTTTGTTTTCTGTCACATCTAAAACATTATACCCTGGTTTATGATCTGTGGTGTCGATGGTTTTAACCACATCTCTGACAAGCATCTGTTAATAAGAGCTGCAGTTGTCCAGTGTTTGACAACATCTCTGATGTTCATATGTCCACCAGAAATCCCTTCTGGCTTGATTTTAGGCTCCCACTGTATTTTTTCATGATTTACAGTCTGAAACAGTTTAAATACTTTGTTTTGACTTGATCAGAGCATTTTATCTAAAACACATAATATGTTTAGCATTTTATGGAACACAGTGCGACTTCACCTTATTCCCACAAAATCTGTAATATTTTTGTTGTCTGAAAACAAAGCCATCGTTCCTTCTATAAACACAATGTTTTACACAAAAAGCAGAATGCTATGTTTAAAGTCAGACTGTAGGAAGCAACATGCCACTTTCAAATCCACGTTCACTTCCTACTCTGACTGAAAGCTAAAGTAAAGTAAAAACAAGTGAGCATTAAAAACAGGATGTAACCCTGGCTGTAAACCCCACCACTGTCCTCACATCCCCCCAAAGAGTCCAAGGTCGAACACTGCAACCAGACATTTGTTGTTTTTAGTCTCCATGAAGTTTGGTTTTGCAGTTTCAAACCTTTTCTCCCCACATGAGGCTCTGCTGAAGCATTTTCCTTTCAGCTCACAAAGATATATTTTATTTTTATTCATCTCAACAAGAACCACATGTTGTACTTGTGACTGTCATCATGGGATTTGTATCTTCCCATCCTGGTTCTTACTCACATTTTCCTTATTTAAAAACACTGACTAAAGCAGCTGTTTGTCTGTCTGTTAGTTTGAATCCTCACGTGTTTTACTGCAGCTCGCTCTCTGTGCCTCACCTCATAATAATCAAATAAAACTCAATAAAAAGGAACTTAGTCTGGTCTGCTACAGTATACAAGTAATGCTAGGTGTTTCTCTCTTTAACCCTGTTCTGTACTAAAAAAAGTTCCTTTAAAAATTAAATTCCTTTCTGAGGATTTTTTAATCTCTTTAATAAAATCTGCAATGCTTGATTGTAATCTATAATCTGACTATAATCTGTGATCTGATTGTAATCTGTGATCTGATTGTAATCTGTAATCTGATTGTAATCTGTAATAAATTGCACAGAACAGTCTGCATTTTAAAAGTTTCCTTACTTCCTGTAGGGCAGTGTGTACTCACTGCTTTAAGGCCCACAACCCTATTAAAGTTGATACTTTTATTTTTTTAGTTTAGATTTTATTAAAAAAGTTATTTATTACCTATTTTGAAGAGAGATTACTTGACACAGTTTTCAAGAGGTTTGGAGCCAAACAAGACATAAGGAGCTCAAAAACTAAACATAATCAATAAAACACAACAAGTCTGACTGACTTAAAACCTCTGGATATGAACACATGAAGAGAGGGAAGCAGGCGGCCCGAAGCTCATGACTGGAGACTTCTGAGGAAATGAAAAGCAATATGTTGTTTACAACAAGTCCCATGGTAATAAAATGTGCTGTAAACTATTTATCACAACAGATGCAACATGCAATAACTTATAATATAAGTCATACAATATAAGATTTACATAAGATTTACATAAGTCATATAATACAAGATTTATGTCATTTAATATAACATTTATGTCATATAATATAATATTTATGTCATATAATACAAGATTTATGTCATTTAATATAACATTTATGTCATATAATATAATATTTATGTCATATAATACAAGATTTATGTCATTTAATATAACATTTATGTCATATAATATAATATTTATGTCATTTAATATAAGATTTATGTCATATAATATAAGATTGACATACTGTAAGTCATATAATATAATATTTACGTCATATAATGTAAGATTGACATAAGTAAACATGTAAGTGAGTGACAGAAGCAGACATGTTGGGAGCCACTCTCTCCTGACAAACCACAGGTCCCTGAACGTCTCACGAGCTGCTGCTGTACTGTCGGTTCGGTCGGTCCAATTAGTGTGGAGGTGTGGCTCTGCAGCTCCGGACCTAACGTCCCGGAACACAAGGTAACTTGTCACATCCTGTTTCTCCTCCTGGACCTGCAGAAAGCCGTCCGGACCGTCAGTCCTGACCCGGCCGGAGCCCATGGCTCTGCAGCAGGAAGGGGTCCTGATGGTTCAGGTCTCCATCCCGTCCACGGAGGACAGGGAAGTCAGGGACTGTGGTAAACCTAAGAAGGTAAGCTGCAGTTCAGGTGAGCTCAGAATGAAACTTGTTCTCAGTGTCGGTGTGTTAAAGACACACAAACACTGAAATCAAATATTTATGGACTTAATTCTGATTCTGAACTGCGGGTCCACACTCAATATAAACAAAGCTGTAGGTCAGCTTTAAATCTTTTCTGTCATGCCTTTTTAAACCGTCCACAGCCTCTGAATTAAAATGTTGTGAACTTATAATCACACAACACAGACTAATCTGAGCTGAGTTCAGTTTATTAAACTGATTTAAAGGAGACTGCTCAGTGTGTATTTATAATCTGAACACAGAAACATTTAAACCTTTTTAAAACTGTAAACATTTTATTTTTTTACTTATCAGTTTGCCTCCTTCAAAAAGTGTTTAACTTTTTTATGTTTTTTTTTTTTTTTTTGGTGCAAAATGTGCAACATTTCTAATACTTTAGTTTATCAGAGCAGATGAAAAATGAACATTTTGTTGATCAAAAGCCTTGAACCCTGAAACATGTTTAAACTGGCTGATCCATCACTTTGAGCATTTAATTTATAAAACAAACTTCTTTCACTGCATGTTTCTGTGTGAACACATTCAGCTTGTGTACAATGTGCCGTCATTGTGCAGAAAAATCCCAGAACAGATAAAAACACAGCAGATAGGAAGAGTGTGGTGTTGTGTGTATTTAATGGTGTTGTGTGTATTTAATGGTGTTGTGTGTGTTTAATGGTGTTGTGTGTATTTAATGGTGTGGTGTGTATTTAATGGTGTGGTGTGTATTTAATGGTGTGGTGTGTGTTTAATGGTGTGGTGTGTATTTAATGGTGTTGTGTATATTTAATGGTGTTGTGTGTATTTAATGGTGGTGTGTGTTTAATGGTGTTGTGTGTATTTAATGGTGTGGTGTGTATTTAATGGTGTGGTGTGTATTTAATGGTGTGTGTGTGTGTATTTAATGGTGTTGTGTGTATTTAATGGTGTTGTGTGTATTTAATGGTATGGTGTGTATTTAATGGTGTTGTGTGTATTTAATGGTGTTGTGTGTATTTAATGGTGTTGTGTGTATTTAATGGTGTTGTGTGTATTTAATGGTATGGTGTGTATTTAATGGTGTGGTGTGTATTTAATGGTGTGGTGTATATTTAATGGTGTGGTGTATATTTAATGGTGTGGTGTATATTTAATGGTGTGGTGTATATTTAATGGTGTGGTGTGTATTTAA